TAGAAGGAGTCTCAAAGGCACCACTGCAAAATTTCAGGTAGACAAAGGTGTGGTGCCTATGGCGGGTACTGTCGGAGAAGGTACCACTCAAGGAATGGACGATCTCAATGCTCGTTGTGCTCAATACAAAAAGGTGATCAGCTTAGTTTTCGTATTTCATAGTTCACTCTGAGCTTTTCGTCCAGAATCGAGTTCTTAGCCTCGGTGGCCATTTAGCTTACGTGCTGCGCCCATTAACCGCTTACGTAGTACCCCAATCCTACAAACAGCAATCCGCATCTAGTGCTTCCAGTTCTGGTTATTCGGAACAGCGATTGGGACATTCACAAATAGGGGTTTGGATTGGTGGGGGCAACAAATGGTACTCAGCTTATGTTAGCCTATGAAAACCCACATTGTTTGGACTTGTAAATTCTTACTTCTGAACTGGCTATTTTGTACCATTTTGCTGCTTTACAGGAATTACAGGTCTCTCCGGAATAAGATGTGCCAATTAATATGAGCTAGCAAGGAACTGGCGAAAAGTGCAAAAGGCCCCTCCCACCTCTGGGATTAGTGAGCTGCTCAGCAGGCGACTCAGTAACTGGGTGTTGATATTGATGATGAAAACGCAGATGAATCGCCTGGGTTTCAAGCAGTGAGCCCATCCCAGGAGTGCTGTTTCTTTAAGACTTGACGGGGACAGCGAAAGGGGAGCTGTACGTGAAAGACAACTTGTAAGGAGCTAAAGGTCTACATACCTAGTTCTTAGTCAGGAGATCCGAGTTGCATAGTTTTTTCTGCTCGCTCTGTCGCTTTCACAATGAATCGGTTTGGTCCCGGCACGAGTGGCGTGTGGGCGACACCACCCGTGGGTGCCGATCGCCAGCAGCAGTGGTGAGTGCAATATGTGAGGGGGGGGGCTACTCGGCTAAAAGGGGAGGGGGATTCCGCAATTTCGTTGTCCTTTTGCTAGCTCTTTTGCTGCTTCACTAGTTCCGGTTTACAAGTCTCACTCTGGTGAAACCTGTGAACTCTTGTGAAGCTGGAGCAAGCTCGTCGAGCCACCATGGTAAAACCTGTCAACTCGAGAAAAGGCTCTCTAGATGGGTGGACACGTTGATGGGAAGTAGCAAAAGTGCAAAATGCCCCCCGTCCCTGAACTGCCCCCTCTTGTGATGTGTTACCAAGCGGGTGTCCACAGGCGAACCTGTACAAGTTTTGCTGAGTGCCCTCACCCAAGCGATCTGCGCCCATTTAGAGA